TTAAATTTTATTAATTTTAATGAACATTTACAGAGATTTGGTGTTTTCATTCATTCATTGTTGCACTATTTTCTCTACCCTCCTCCCCAGTTCGTTCTTTTTTCCCCCCCATGAAAGTCTGTTTTAATTGTCCAATTGCCACAGTGCTTGTCAAAGCCAGTTCTGATTAATCTCCTTTGTCAGTGTGTCCTTTGCCATTCCCTATCTCTCCTCCCTGAGAGAGACTTCACCCTGAGTCATAAGGAAAAGGGGTTGCGTATTCTCTTAGCTACTTCCTGCTGAAAAGGGACGCTGTGGGTTTCAGGGTGAATGTCTTCTCTCACTACTCTAAAGGGCCCCTTTGGCAGTAGGAAACACATAGACTATTATGGAGATTGATTTTGGAATTTAGATGCACTGTTAACAATTGTGCTTAGCCGTACATGTTCATATCCTTGAAGATGTATCATGGAAGTGTTGCAGCCTAACCTTGAACTTTGGTGGAACTTTGGTGAGGGGCAAGGGAGGTAGTCCCTGCACAGAGTGGGCTTTTATCACCTTCAGGCACCACGGAGTATGGCTTAATCAACTCCAAGTGCCTCAAGGGAATTATCCCGTCTGAGACTATCACAGAAGTGTCCTGGCCCATGACTGAGGCTACCAGCCTGAACGACAAGAAAGGTTCATCTCAAGCTGCCTCTCCAGCCTCTCCTCCCATTTCCCCAACCCAACCTCACACACTCGCCACTCGGCTCCAGGCTCTTTTCCAGACACCTCTCTAGTCTCTCAGACTGCAGATCTCCCTTCAATTCTACCTATTGATCATCAATACTCGGTCATCAGAGCCCAGTACAAATGCCACCTTCTCCAGACAAGCCATTCTGATATGGTTCAGTTCCTCAACACTGATCATTCCCTCCCCTCCTGGGGACCCCCCAACCCCAGCCCAGAACTGTGTGGGTCTCTCCTGTGGCTCTGAGGTCAGGCTCTTTGATGCTATAATGGTCTATGCAACATTGTCTCTTCTACACACTTTTCTGCATACAAACATGGGAGTCCCTAGCATTGAGCTTCATACAAGCCAGATCACGGCGTATACTGCATAATGGATAGAAAAACAGAAAAGTGAGAGGCTCACTAGATGGATGGGTAAGTGGATGGATGAAGGCGAGGGAGGCAGAAGGTCCACAGGAAGTTCTGTGCACACAGCCCCCTTGCAACTGTTCAAAACACTTAGATGTCCCCATGGTTCTGGGAGAAGAAGGTTTCCTCATGCCCTTTTTTCCAAGCCCCCCTACTCCCCCATCAGTTAGCGTAAGATTTAGAAAGACAGCCTGCTGGGTGCAGGTGCCAGGAAAGCTGGGAATCAAATCTGTGCTCCTTGCCCTCAGTTCATCTTGCCCAGGAGGGAACTGGACCTCAGTTCCCTCCTGTGTAAAATGAGGACATGGAACTGGGGGGAGTTCCTTAGACCTTTCCTGCTTAAAAAGCACGTCCATGCTGGGGCCCAGCTGAGAACAAGAGAACTGGCCACATGGGAGACGGCAGGGGAATTTATGCCAAAAAAAATTAAAGGTGGGGGAGGGGAAGGGAAAAGATCAGAGGGAAAGAGAAAATCCTATTCCCTTTTAAACTGCACATTTAAGAGGCACTTAATAGGTAAAATTTCCAGGACTCATTGTGTCTTTAAAAAGAAAAAGTTCATTTCAACAGATTGGATTTAGGATGAGAGTGGACTGGAAATGCTGGACCCCTGAAGAGTCCAGGTGCCTCGGGCAGAACCCCCTGGGGTGCTAGTGCTAGATAAGAGCTAGCTAAGAGCTGGTCCCCCTCCCCCGACCACCTCCTCTCACCACCCTGCCCACTTCAGCCAGAGGACCCTTCTTGTCGTCTGCACTACACATTGAGCTCAGAAACCAAGTGTAGAATTAGGGTGAAAGATTTCAGGAGAGAAAAAGAGGCCCAAGGTCGTACACTCAGGACCTCACCAGAATTCCCAGGGGGTCAGGCTAACAGAACCCCTCAATTCAGACCCCAGGAATCGAGTTGCATGCATTGGAGGCGGAAGAGTTTCCCAAACCCAGCTGTCCCTGGTTGGGCAGCATGTATATAGACATAGATACTCTGGTTCCGGAGCTCTGGTAGCCTATAGTGGTTAAAAGCTGTGCTGCAATGCCAAAGGTACATGGTTCTCATCCACCAGATACTGCACAGAAGAAGGATGCACAATCTCCTTCCATGAAATTTAGTGCCTCTGAAACCCTGCTGGTCGGCTGTGAGTCAGTTCTGACTCAGGGGGACACATGACAACTCGGCCTCAATTCCAGCAGTCCCCAGGGGAAGTCACCAGGCTCCTCTGAGCGCTCAGCTTAGACAGGAAGAGCCACGCCAGGCCCAGTGAAAAACCGGAAAACCTGGGGAGGACGCTGCTCAGATCAGGGGGCTCCAAGCGTCAGCCCAGCACCCTGCAACCTTGCTGTCAAAGACCTTTCTGAAACATCTCTCGGCTGCCTCGGGGCATAATTTAATCTTCCTTTTATGACTCCGGATCTCTCCCAGCCACGTGGAGACAATCAATTACTGCTGGGTCCAGGTGGGGGGGCAGAGGGGAGGGGCAGGACTCGGTTTGACCAGCTGACCCTGAACTGGGAGGGGCCTGAAAGAGCTGGAGGAGGCGGTCCGCAGGGGGGCAGACCCCAACCTGAGTCCTGCGGGCTGGAGGTTGGTTGAAGCAGAAGAGAACGGGAAGCTCTTTCTCAACCAAGTCGGAGACCCCCAGAGCAGGTGAGATGGGGCAGTCTCCAGGGGTCCATTGAGGTAGAACCAGAGAGCTAGAAAGGGGTAGGGGGTGCATGCTGAGGTCAGACCAGGTGTCCTAACTAAAGAAGAGGCTGCATAATACAGCACCCCATATAGAGTTTATAGGGTTTGTTGTCCTTGATGTTGGGTTGGATCTAACTCATAGCTGACCCTCCAGCAGGTTTTCTGAGGCAGTAAAATGCACAGGAGGAGAATGCCCATCCTTTGTGGGCCTAGTGGTAAGACGCTGCACTGCAATCCCAAAGGCATGCGGTTCAAATCCACCAGCTGCTCCACGGGAGAAAGATGGGCAAGGAGTGAGGCTTCAGATTAGACGAGGAAACTGTCCACCCGGATTGTGGGTGGCAGGAAGCTGTTCTCCTGGGTAAACACGAGACAGAGACCCAGGGGGTGACACCCCTGAGCCCCAGAGGACAGATACAGCGACCCTTTCTGCTGAGGTGATGCTACTATTTACTGGACAGACAAGGCTCTAGACTCCAGCCCAACAGACACCAGACAAGGGAAGTGGGAGGTAGAGTATTTTGTGCCTACCAGTGGCAGCCCCTCTTTCATTGTCTGTTCCCTCCCGATGCTCTCGGCATGTTATCTCTAAGTTACTTTGGGCCTCAGAGCTCAGGCCAGACCCCGTCCGAGGCCGTCCATCTGTCCGGCTCACAGCTCTGCTAGGCTCAGGTCGTGTCCCCTGGCCTTTGCTGAGGCAGCTCTTTGAGGAGCCCTGGGCTTGGTGGGTCCACAGCGCCCTCCCTTCCGCTGCTGCCTTTAATCCTCGGCGGAAAGTCAAACATTAGCCCGGGGAACAGCTTACAGCCTTATATAAGCCCCCCTGGGGGAGGCACAAACACAGCCTGTTGGAGCCAAGCTGCCCCACTGCAGCAGCTGCCCGGACCAGACACAGACAGAGCCGCAACCTGACTGCCCACCGGTGCTCAGAAGCCAGGTCGAGCCAGGTGAGGAGGGGGGAGGCCCCAAGCCCAGGCCCCAGAGGCTCCTGAGGAAGCCCCCAAGGTCAAGGCCTGCTTCAGTGCACCTGGCCAAGCCCTTTGTGCCCTCTGGGGACATGCTCAAGTGCTTTCTGTTGCCCTCACCTGGTGGGTCCAACCCCAGAAAGAGCTGAACCCAGGAGGCTCTGTGCTCCCCAGAGACCCTTCAGCCCCTGCCTGCCCCAGCTGGCCACCTGCTGACCTTCTATGGCCACCTGGAGCCCAATCAGGGACCACTCCACCCACCCGTGCCATCTGGTCCTGTGTAGCATTAGAAGAGGGCAACCTGATCTCTCCTTGTGCTGGTCACACATACTCGCATGGACGCGTGCACATGGACTCACACAACACGCCTTTACGTTCCAACCTCCATAGACACCTCCCAGTCCACACCCCACTTCCTGGGCAGTGCAAGGCAAGCCGTTTACACTGGACTGCCGGCCCTAAAGGCTGGCACTTGAGATGCCCTCAGCAATGCCATGGACGAGAGGCCTCGCTCAGCTTCCTTAAAGTCCACCTGCCAGAATCCCAGGGGACAGTTCTACCCTGGGACACACAGGTCAGCATGAGTCAAAAATCGCCTCTCGAGCAATAGAGTTAAGTTCTGTGTCCCTGGGCTGCTAACAGAAAGGCCAGTGGCGGTTCAAGTCCAGCAGCCACCACACAGGACAAAGATGAGGCCCGGTGCTCTTGCTTGCAGCCTCAGGAACTCAATGGGGCAGTCCCACCCTGTCCTATCCCAACCCACCACCCGGCTCACCGCTGCTGAGTCCAACCTATTGAGTTTAATCACAGCGACCTTCTCCATCAGGTTCCTAAGGCTGCAAAGTCTACAGGAGGAGACTGCCCACATTTCTCGGAGCAGCTAGTGGATTCAAACCACTGACCTTCCAGTTAGCAGCCTGATTTGTTATGCAGTAGCCCCCAGGGCTCCTCACCGTGTTCTATACAGTCTCTGCATAACACATTTGCATAGAAGCCCACACCGGGGACCCGCACCTCTGCATATGCAACTGGATGCGTCCTGTGTGTGCACGAGTAGCTACATCTGCACACACATCTGTGCCTACGCTGCTGCACACACTTGAGCTCGTGCACACACACACCCCCTTAGACACCCCCACTCTAGCACACAGCTACACAGCACATCCACGCACACACACGCCTCTCCCTGGCTTGGTGCCTTGCCTAAAGCTCTGGCTCGTCCCGCCCAGTGCCATGACCTTCTCTGAGCTCCTGGACCGCTTGGGTGGCGTCGGCCCCTTCCAGTTCCTTCACCTGGCCTTGATCGGCTTGCCAGTCCTGGGCATGGCCAACCATAACCTGCTGCAGATCTTCACAGCCTCCACCCCAGCCCATCACTGCCGTCCACCCCCCAATGCCTCCGCGGGGTCCTGGGTGCTCCCCACGGGCCCGGATGGGAAGCCTGAGAGATGCCTCCGATTCATACATCCACCCAACGCCAGCCTGTCCAACGTCACGCAGGGGCCTACAGAGCCATGCTTGGATGGCTGGGTCTACAACATCAGCGCCAGGGACTCCATCGTGTCAGAGGTAAACTCCCTGCCACCATAAGGCACCGTGCACCTTTGAGAACTCCCCTTGTTTACCACAGGCACCCCCCACCTGCCCTGCACCAAGCAGGAGGGCCTATTCTTCCTGGGGGTAGAGAGTACTGGCAGGTTAGTATCCCTGGGGGCAAAGCAGATGGTGGGTGCAGATGCAACCCAAAGTCAATGTTGACTTTCTTCACATTCGGAGTCCAAGCGTTTTATTCAACAGCTACAGCTGACTCGGGCAACCATGCTTCGAGGGAAAGGGATACGTAGTATGTGCACAGCCCCTAAGGTGGCAGCGTGTATGGAAGTGGGGCTAAATTAAGAGGGCTGGATTAAGAAGGTTAAATTAAGGCTGAAACACTCCAACACGGACACATTAACTGGTTATCCGCCTCACACCCACTGACAGGTCCACCTCCCATTCATCCATTCCATCACGGCGTCCCTTCATCACCCGTTGTGGAAATGACACAGTTAAATCAGACCCTTCTGTAAACTGGCAGGCCATGACAGGAGGAAGAGGAGGAAACAAGACAAGCATTGAGGGGGACACGCCCAAGGTCAAGTACGCTTTGTTTGATACATTGCAGACCTCGTCTCCATCCATCCCCATCACCATTCTCTGCTGAAGGTGACATTATCTCCTTTCACAGACTAAAGAAACTGACAGGGAAGGGAAGTGACTATCCAATGTCACACAGCTCAGTTTGGGAGCTGGCATTTACAGCTAGAGACCATCTGACGTCTGCTGTTCTTAGATGCCAGGGAGTTGGTCCCAACTCTGCAACCCTATGTTTCACCAGAGCAAAAAACCGCCAGGGCGTGCGCCACGCCACAATCACTGTTGTGTGTAAGCCCTTTGTGGAGTCACTGTGTCAAGACCCTGCTCTGCCTCTTAATTCCTGACCCTCTAGCTTCCTAAGCATGGTGTCCAGGGGCTGGCCCCTCCTGACAGCAGGCCTAAAGTATGTGAGACGGAGTGACATCGCTCTAGCTTCTAACAAAAACTCGGGTTACACTTCCAAGATTTGTTTCTTCTTTTGGCAATTTATGCTCTATGGACAGCTCAAGGCAAATCATAGTCTAGGTGCAAGGGTATAAATGCTTATGGGAGCTACAGTACTCTCTCTCCAACACCACAACTCAAAGGCATCATTTCTTCTGTAATCCTTATTCATTCATTTAATCAATTATTGAGGAGTAATGATGTCAGTTTGAGGACTAATGTGCACCTGATTCAGGCCACATAGTCTTTTTTTTTCATTCATTCATTATTGTACTTTTCTCCCTGCCCACCCCTCCCCGCCAGTATACTCTTCTCTTTGGAAAGTAAAATTCTTTCATTGTTATACAATCCCTCCCCCCACCAAGTCCACGCCACTAGGCAGCCTTTATTCTGGACTCCTGTCATGACAATAATAAGTAATCATCTATCCCTTTTAAACAGTTCTCTCCCTCATCTGTTTTAATGCAGTATACATAATTTATCCCCTCTTTCTCAGTCTTCCCCCCAACCCTGATGTCAGTCCCATTTTACTACAGTGGCACTATTTGTCCTTTTGTGTCTCAGATATTTCATTCAGCATAATGTCCTCCAGTGTCCTCCATTTTGCATAATATTTCATGAGTTCCTTGTTTTTCAATGCAGTATAGTATTCCATTATGTGAATATACAAGAGCTTCTCTATCCATTTGTTTGTTGATGGGACACTTGGGTTGTTTCCAACTCTTTGCTATTGTGAACAAAGTTGTGATAAACATGGGTGTGCATTTATCTGCTTGGGTGTCAGTTATGGTCTCTTTGGGATATATTCCCAGTAGTGGAATTCCTGGGTCAAATGGTATTTCTATTTGCAACTTTTTGAGAAAGCGCCATACCGCCTTCCATGATGGTTGCATCACAGCCACAAAGTCTTTTCAATCACTTACTATGCATCTGAAAGCTGGACAATGACTAAGGATGACAGAAAAAGAGTTGATGTCTTTGAGCTGTGGTGTTGGAGAAGAGTGCTGAACAAACATCCCATGGATGGCCAAAATAACAAACAAATATGTCTTGGAAAGAATGCAGCCAGAGTGCTCTTTGGAGGCAAGGATCATGAGGCTTCGCCTCACACACGTCAGGCATGTTGCTAGGAGAGGCTATTCCTTGGAGAGGGACATGATGCTGGGAAGCGTGGAGGGTCAGCAAAGGAGAGGAAGACCCTCAACCAGATGGACTGACATGGTGACTGCCACAATGGGCTCTAGTGTGTCAGGAAGTGTGAGTATGGCACAGGATAGGACAGGGTCCATATCTGTTCTTCATAGGGCCACTATGGGTTGTACTTGACAGCATTTAATGACAATCCTTATTCATAGTCCAACTTTCCAATGTACAGCAAGTTACTGAAAAGACCATAGCTTGACTTTGGTGTACTTTAGTCTTCCAAATAACATCACTGCTCCTTAGCACTTTGGAGAACTCCTTGACAGGAGACTTCCCCAAGGCAAGATGTCTCTTGCTTTCTTAACTATTGGTAACAAAGGTGCTGATTTTCGATCCAAGTAAGATGAAATCACTGACAACTTCAATCTTTTCTCTATCTAGCATGATGTTGCCTATTGGCCCAGTGGTGAGGATTTTTGTTTTCTTGATGTTGAGATGTAATCTATATTAAAGGCTCTTGTCTTTGATTTTCTGAAGCAAGCATTTAAAATCCTTCTCCTTTTCAACAAGTAAGGTTGTGTCATGTGCATAATACAGGATGTTAAAAGAGTCTTCCTCTGATCCTGATAACACCTTCTTCTTCATAGAGTCCAGCTTCTCAAATGATTTGTTCAGCATAAACATTGAATGGGTGTGTAGAAAAGATACAGTCCTCAGACACACCTCCCCTAATTTTAAACCATGCAGTATTCCCTTGCTCTGTCCAACAACAGCTTCTTGGTCTAGGTATAGGTTTTCCATGAGCACATTTAAGTGTTCTGGGACTCCCATCCTTCTCACTGTTAGCCATAATTTCTAGACATAATAGAAACCTTTCATATCTTGGGTTTCTAGTCACAACAAGCACATAGCTGAAATGGAACCAATCTCCAACAAACATTTATTGAAACCTGCAAGCTGAATAGCACTCAGCTACTAATCCCAAGGTTGGTGGTTCAAATACACCCCCAGGCCGGATAATGTCTCCAAAGAAAGGCCTGGTGATTCATGTCTGAATGGTCACAGCCGTGACAACCCTATGAAGTTCAACTTTATTGTGAAACACATGGGTCCCCATGAGTCAGAACCAAACTGAAACGTAGGTGATGCTGAGGATGGATATTCAGAGAACACATGAGCTGTGCTGATGCCCCAGGACCTGCCTCTGGTGGGGACAAAGGCACGCCCCTTAAGAGTTGCCGGTGGTTTTGTGGGGAGACAGCACGCATGGGCAGGGGGTTTGCACCTGCTTGCTCATCCCTGATTCCTCAGCTCCTAGAATCCTACCTGGCTCAGAGGAAGCGCTCTTGGGGAGACACTCTCTGTGTTGAGTGGGTGCATGCTTTACAGAGCTTTGACCCCGTTCATCCTGGCGTAACACCTGCTGGGAACTTGCCTCTCCACCCCTCCCCCCCAAAGAAGCCGGGCTGCCAACCCAAAGGCACGCGGTTCGAATCCACCAGCTGTTCAGCGGAAGAAAGATGAACAATCTCTTCCCATGAGATTTATTGCCTCTGAAAACATATACTGGCGGGTCAGCTATGAGTTAGTGCCAACTGGATGGTACGCAACAACACATTATACATCATTAGTGAAAAAGGATCAACTCACTGCCATCTCTTTCAACTCATGGTGACCCTCCTTCGGCCTTCTGAGGCTGTAAACCTTTTCTCTTGGGTTTGTTTGTTTGTTTGTTTGTTTGGGGGGGGGGGTTTGAGGCTGTACACCTTGATGGGAGTAGATCACCTCCTTTTTCTCCCAAAGAGGAGCTGGTAGATTCAAGCTGCTAACCTGTAGATTAACTCCCCACACTTAACCTACTACCCCACCAGGGCTCCTCTTTTCTCTCTTAGATATACTGACTTGGAATCAATATTTCAATAAGATCTCCCAAGAGGGTATTTATACAGGATCGTATGTCTACATAAGAATCGCTTGGAGGGTGTTGTTAAATTGTAGATTCTGGTTCAGTCTCTGATGTGGAAAGGTGAATTCTCAGCAGAGGGTCAAATTAGAATGAACCTGTTGGAGACCCTGGTGCTTTATGAACTCAGGGTACTCTAGGAGCCCAAAAAAGGGGCACTGAGTCAGCCTAGAGGGGCCCTCAAAAAGGACTTTCTGGAGTAGACAGTGCATGTGCTGAGGATGGAAGAGGAGCGAGAGCCAGACAGGGGAAGTGAGGTGAGCAAGGGCACCCCAGGGAAAGAGAACAGTGAGTAGCGTTAAAGTCACGGAAGCTTGACGAGAATGGTCGGAGGCGATGTCAGAGATTGTGGAGGTGGCACAGGGCAGGACAGGGTTCAGAGCTGTTGTTCACAGGGTCACTGTGAGTTGTACTTGACTCAACGGCACCTAACAATAACAACAACAGTGGCAGAAGAAGACTGAAGAATACGTAGGTGAGCTGAATGTGGGGCTGAAGGCTCAGTGGTGCTACGGCGAAGACGTGGCCTCTGTCCTGAGGGCAGTGGGAGCCCAGGAATGGCGTAATGAAAGACGTGCTTAAGCCATGTTCTCAGACCCATAATTCCGACTGTTGGATGGAGAGAGGCTTGTACTGACTTGTGAACTGAGGGCCAAGATGACTGATACGAGAGACAATCAAAATCAATACCAGTCAAGTTCAGATGCCAGAAGCTTATAGGACTTAGTGACAGAATGGAGGTGGGACTGAGAGGTAGGGAGAAAAAGGTCAAATGAGTAGCAAAATCTGTAGTGTGACCTAGTCTGTGGGAACATAGAGAGAAGCACAAGCCATCATCTATGACTTAAAAAACCACCTCCCGGCAAAAGAAACAAAAAGCGTA